TAATAGTTCTTCATAAATTTCCTTTCCTTTTAAACCTTTCAAAACAAAGAATCTAATCACTGCTCGATATTAAATTTTTTCCATATTAAAAAAATACTCTGACACGTCAACTTCAAATGGCTTGTAAATAAAGAATTAATTGACAGAATGACTTGTAACTTTCTTTGCTTGTGTTCTCAGGACAGATGTACCAACTTGAGAAAAAAATGTAGAGCTAGTAGTGATATTTCTTGGTAAGCGCAGAAGCTTTTCAACCAATCTGTATATACATGTGTACATTAATACAATTCATAAAAAATTAACTTACCAGTAACTCCTCCATTTAAGGCTAGTACTGGGCGCTAAGGATTATTTTATAATATAAAATAGCAATATGTACCAGATATTGTGCTCAAGAAATATATACATATCGCTATCACCCGATTTTTTTTTAAGTACGTTTGTATTTCGAATACAGAGAATTAAACATGCAAAAAGTTTTACAAAAAAAATTTAAATTTCTCCTTAATACCAAAAGTTGTACAAAAATCCGTTTCTAATTTTCCGACCACCAGTGTTTAAATATGTTCATAAATACTAGCGCATCGCATTCCATACACACTGGCACCTCACTTTGTAGCCGATGCGACAAAAATTTATGGCACCCTCGAGGGCATAACTCATTGGTCCCAACCTGACTTTCTCTATCACCACACGCTTGCATAGTACGTCTAGGTCTGGCTTACGCTCATTTATTCAAATTTTACATTTTACCGACACTTTTGTTAAATGTCCTTCAACTTCTACAACGTCAGACGAACAATAAACAATATTCCTTATGTACTATGTATGTAAGTAAGTATGTACGTCATTATAAATGTAAGTGTTTGCTTTATCGTATGCATAATTTATGGGTCATTGACTTTAAAAACTTAAAGTTTAACGAAGTTGTATGAGTCAAGAATTGGTACATATGTTGAAAATCACAATTACACACGCGGTTGAGCCACCATATGTAAGTATATTTTTTCAAGAAATCGAATATCTGAATTCATTATCTAACATCATAAGTAAGGCTTTCTCGCCTGTTCGGATGTGCTTTTAAGACATAAGTTTCACATGTTTTATAACTTTGTACTACAGCAAGAATTAGTGAGCATTTATGTTTGAGGATATGATCCCAGACTCTTCAGCGGCATCCTAGCAATGCCTATAGAAACCCATTTGGTTCTAGTAAACCATCAGTAAAGACCGAACGCCGAAAACACTTTCAAGTAGTGTTATATTATCTGCACCTAACCCTCTCAGAGATCTGACTTAAGGTCAGAAGGGCCGGAAATGTCTAAACGCTAGCTTTCACTTCAGCAAGCTCTAGAACTGGCTGTAACTATAGCAGAAGCTCATATTGCTTTTGTTCTGGTAAAATATTAGAAACTTGTGTATTTCTTTAAAATAGTGCAGTTATTGTTAGTTGTTAATGTGATACCGTGATTAGCAAAAATCTAATGATTCAACGCCAGCAAACTTGAGAAAATGATCTTTCGATTATTAAAATGTGTCTGTTTAATCTGTGTGACTTAGTTTAATTCCACCTACTTCATAAAAAATTTCAACCATTTTTATATATGTACATAAGTATTTATAATATAAATAATTCTGAAATACACAATACAATAACGATCAATGGCAATCCTGTTTTCCATTGTATTTGCAAAGCATTCGTAGAAAACACATGTGCACATACATATGTATGTATGTATTAATGTTAAATGGCCATGAATATTGTTGGAGTCCAGGTAATATTGAAACGATTTTTTACAAAGGAATACTTGAACCAGAGAACAATATAACGTTATGCGATTACTGCCGTTGGGATCGCTAGACTACAGTGGTGGTAAAATTTTAGACTATTTTATAAATTATTTCGTTTTAATATTTTGATATTAAATCTGTTATAAAAACCTGAGCTCATATATAAACTTTTAAATTCTATACACATTTTTTAATGTTACGAATTCTCTTTATTATAAGCTTTTTGTTAAATTTTTTCTTACTGGTGCTTAAAAGATTTTTTTGAATATTTTGAAAATTTTTATAAATTTTTTTTAGATATGTACATAAATATATGTATATCAGTAATTTTGTTGATAAAATTATTTACTAAATGTTGGCAGTCCTATTTACTTTACTTGTAATACTACAAATGTGTTTATTTTTATAACGGATTTTTTTTCTAGTCGTGCTTATGTAGGAACAGCTCGGAAATTGAAACAACACTTTGTTATTGGTCTAATTCAAACCAATAATAAAGATGCTAGCTCTTCTGGTATTCATGTGCGCCTGGTTGATCATCGGCTACTTTAAAATTTTCACTACATTGGCAACCCATAATTTTTATGCATGCATACTTGGAAACAATGAGAATTGTTAGAAACAGATGTTTTGTTGGCACAAACTAGTGCAGAAATCATTGAAAATGATAAATATTATAATAGTAATGAAACCCATCGGAAATGAAAGATAAAATAGCAACATTAAAGGAAAAATAAAAATAGGAAATCATCAAGGAGGGAACCTTATTGCGACTGAAAATCGAAAAACCCCTATTTTTCATACAAAAATTCTCAAGTCAAAATTCAATTTTTTTGTAAGTCAGTAGGTTTTATGATAACTGATATCTTTACTTTCTTTTCTTGTATAAAAAATATGTAGTATATATGTATGTGCATTACTATGGTTAAATTGCTTAGAAAATGAAAAAGAGACCCAATTCAAAGATACAAAACTGCTTTTTTAACAGCTGCTACCACGATTATACTTATTATAGTAGGTGAAAGAAAAAAAGCAGCTTTTAATTGATTTTCAACTGTTTAGTGGAGCATTTTCTGAGCAAATTTACCATAGTATCGTACATGTACATAAGTATATGTTTTATTACATCATAAAGTAGAGATATTTACGAACATAAACCCTTTTCACTTTTAAATATAATCTGAAAATTTTACTTGAAGTTTTTTGATTGAAAATTCGTGTAAGAAAAACATTTTTTTGTATAAGATAAAAAAACCCAAAACCTTGTTTGTTTGAAATTTTCACATAAATTTTGAGTTAATGTGAAAAAAGTTTAGATACAAACGTTATAGATCTTTTCATTACCTACAACATTGCGATAAAACGTTTTTCTATAGAATTCGCAGTTTTGCTGGAAATCGATATACACAGTTTTTAACCCTTAAATATTAAACCACGCCCCTCCTCTTCTTTTTCTAGACCACAGATCGCCCGCAATTTATTTTTGCTTAAATGTTTGTTCTTTATCTTTCGTTTTCGATAAGATTCTACTATATTTTTGTTTTCTTTTCAAAAGTTATTTACTCTGATCTATATGCACCTGGTCGATCAATGGGTAAAGTAACAAATCTCTACAGAAGCTTCCAGAACGGTAGGTATTTAAGTGAATATTACAAGTATAGAACATAATAGATAAATTAATAAATAAAAAGAAGACTTAAGTTGTTACATTTTTAATGATTGACAATATATAGGGTATTTGGCAACCCTCTTATTTTCTCTGTATTTTTCAATAGCGGTAAAATTTTTATGTAAATGCATTTGGAGACCATGAGAAAAGTGAAACGAAACGTTGTTGTTTTTCTAATGTTAATCAATGGTTGCTAAGAGTAAAGGATTGCAGCAACCTGCTGCGTGATAATGAATTATGAGCGCCTGCTGGATGTTGAAAGATATCAGCGAAATGCCAATTTTTATTTAAGTAAGAAGAAGAATCATATTTATTTGTATGGAGTGATATAGATGACAAAATTTAACTAAAAAAATAATAAAAATTTTAAATCATAAAATAAGGTAAACATATTTAATTTACAGCACTTTCTGCAGTTTTGTTTAAGAGTTTTTGCGAAGAGTAAGTAGTAAAAAATCTAGAAAACGTCTAGTTTGTTTAAATAAATAATTTTAATACTTTTAATGTACTCTGAATTATTTTATTAGAGCTGGTAACCTGATATAAGTATATATCTGATATATATATGAATATATATATATGAATATATAATATATGAATATATAATATATGAATATTCATGAATGGCGAAAAATGGCAGTTTGGGCATTTAAAAACGGTGCCTTATTGCGCTTTATCAGCAGTAAATTGTATGCCAAAATCACTGCGTGCTAATCCTCTGAGCGTACTACACTTGATTATGCTCGCCTGGTGTTATGGTGATACGAAGCTTTCATATGTAGCAAGTTGTTTTTTTAAATTTTTTTTGTAAGTTTTATTTATTCTGGGTTTTATTTTTTAGTTTCAAGTTTATAATATTTATTTATTTTGAATAAAATTTCAATCTATATTATAATATAATGCAATATAAATTATTTATATAACTTAACAGTTTTATAATTTTAGTTATAAAGTTAATATATATATTATATACGGAAGATTTGGCAACCCTTACTTTCTACAATATGTCATCCAAATGTGCTATAGTTAGAACAAAGTGGTAATTGAAACACTGTGTTGTTTTTGCTACAAAACAGTGCAGCTGTGGCAGATGCTGCGATCACCGGCTGTTGTTGTCAGCGACCTTCTGTTTGTTTATGTTCGCCTGGTGAATTTGTGACAACTTTAAAGCTACAAAAATTGTCGTCGCACATGTGTGATGGATGGTTTGTGTCTTTGCTAAATCCGTCGCGTGCTGCAAATGTGGTCTTTTCTGTTTTTGAAATTTGTAGATTTCTGCGACTTTCTCGGATTCTTTAGTTTATTTCGTATACTTAGTGTATTTCAATGCAATACTTGCATAATATATTTAAAACAAATTACTATCAACTATTTTATGTATTTTAAATAATTTTTAAATGATGCTTTCACCATACTTACCTCTTCCAATTTATATAAATTAATTTCGTTTAATACTTGCATGCTTCAAAAGTCGATTTTTAGATAAATTTGCAAACTCTTGGAATCCAATTCTTCGGAAATAGTAAGAACAACATTTTTTGTTTAAAAAAGTATTTATTTTTGTTTTTATTTCCACAGTTCGCTCTCTTAGTTTGTGACAATAGTTATTTCGTTAGTATAATTTTTAATTGCAAATTTTCTTGCTGCTTTAATAATAAATTTTAATTATTTATTATTTTAAATAATTAGTATTATTATTATTATAAATTTATTTACATACATGCATATGTACGGGTATTTAATACAATATTTATTTATATATGCTAATATAAACAATAAAATATGTATGTGTGTGTGTGTTGTTATAACCAGATTTCTTTAAATTTTAGCTCACCAAAAATAAAAGTTAAATTTTATTTTGAAAATGTTTAGAATTATTTGGGATTATTTTAATTTAATTGTAAAATTTTAATAAGAAGAATAGTTAAAAAAAAATTATTCGAAGCTTTGTTGATTTTTGGTGTTTGCGTATTTTTGAGGTTGATTTAAACTGTTTTAAATATATAACTTTTTAGCCAAGATAAAATTCAATTTTGCTTAAACTTTTTTACAATGTTTTCAAAATTCTAAAATTTTTCCTCGTTGTACAATTTTTAGAATTGTTATGGTATTTCATTAAATTTTAACATTTGAAAGAATAGTCAAAAATTAAATCGTTAAAGCTTTGGTGATTTTTTTGCGTATTTTTAGAGGTTAGGGTTGAATTTTTTTTTTAATAAAATATTGAAGATTTTTGAAACTTATAATGTTTTAGCCGCAGTAAAACTTAATTTTTCTTAAATTCTTTTGCATAAATTTCAAAATTTTAGAATTTCATTGTTTTATTTTCAAAATTCTGAAATTTTGAAAATTTTTATAATTTATAATTTTTCTGCCAAAGTTAAATTTAAATTTTCTCCAATTTTTTTACTATTTTCAAAATTTTGATATTTTTTCCTCATAACACAATTTTGAAAATTTAAAATATTTTTTGGATTATTTTAATTATAAAATTTTAAAGAGAAAATAATAATCAAAAAAATAAATCGCTTAAAGCTTTGGTGATTTTTTTGTGTTTGCGAAGTTCTAACCTCTAAAGGTTAATTTTTTTAAACAAACTTTTGAATTTTCTTTTAAATTGATTATAACTTTTTAGCCAAAGTAATGTTTTTCTTAAAATTTTTCTTATTGTATTATTTTCAAAATTCTTATATATTTCCTCCTCACACACACATACATACATTTACACCGATTTGCTTGCATATACTTTAGGTAAATTTTATTTATTTACTCATTTTATATATTTTATGCACTTGTAGGTTTTGTAATAAATTTTATTTATTATAATAATAATAGCAATTATATATATGTATGTATATATTTATATGTATGTATGCATGTAGTTAATATTATATATATCGAATATTACATAAATGCATTTCTATATACTTGCTCATTTCATTAGTTACATTGTATATTCATATCAGTTGAGTTAGTTTCGGATAAACATTTCAAAATTTTAACATAGTTTAAATAGGCAAAACTGGCAACAAAATTTCTATTTAGTATGTACTTAATATTTATAGTTTGTAGCTTTCTTCGATTTACGCTTTTTTCCTAACAAAAGCACTCGTTTACACTTAAATTTAGCTAAATGTATTAACAATTTTAAATAAGAAACTTATTTATTTAATATTTTATTTTATTTACTGGTTGTTGTTGTTGAGGATTTAGCAAAGATAACTAGACACTAGTTAAAAGAAGATTTTTGCATAAGCAATTGTTAAAAAGTATTTAACAAACGCTTTCGAGCAACAAAAACTAACCAAAAATAATAAAAGCTCTCAAAAAGCTCTTTTTATAAAATACGCTATTTTTCTTAAATGAATGCACAAAGTGTTGAGGTTAGGCAGCAAACATAAATGCAACTGTTGAGAATTATATATTTGTCTAAATTTATATTTTTTACAGTAGCGCGACAGTTAGGCAAGAGCTTTAGTAGCAGACGAGTAGTGTATGTGTAAACTGTACAAAATATTTTACAATTACATTTTAACAAAGTTGAAAGTATTTTTTAGAAAGCTTTCGTGGTCATAGCAATGCTTTGCAAAGCTGATAGCTTTCACTTCAAATAAGCTTTTAGGCCAAAGTGTTTAAGATATAAACCTTAGGTATTTTTAAGCGGAATTAGTTAAGTTTACCGTAACTGGCAGATGTGCTTTTCATTTGAATTTATTACAAATTAAAAAAACATGAAAGCTTTCATCACTGCGTCGTGTGTGTTTTGAAAGCTTTATAAATTCAATTTAAATTTGAAATACAGCTAGAAAACTGTTTATAAGTGTGGTGAGTGGAAGTTTTCGATGTTTAATGAAATTGTTCAATCATAAACATAAAGCTTTCACAGAATTTTTTACTTTGGTAACTTCCATATAAAAAACGCTAATTAAATGTGTATTTGCATTAAGGACTGTCTCTAAAAATTTTTTTGTTAAAGAATTTACGTTAAAGTGAAGCTTTTGCGAGAAAACATTATTTTCTATACGAAAGCTTTGTGGACGATGTGGATTATTTTGAAGTTTATAAAAAAACAACCATTGTAAAAAGATGTAATAATATAATAATAACCGGATATTACATATTAAAAGTAAGCTTTCAACGCAAACTTATTTCAAGAAGCTTTCATCACTGGCTTTTAAGCTTTTATTTTACGCTAACGCTTCCAAATATTGTAAGACTTTAAAATATGTTTAGGTAACCCTTAAAAAGCTTTCAACGCATGTCGTATAAACTCTCACTGTTCCATGTTACTTAAGCTTTCATGTTGTTTAAAAGCTTTCACTATAAAATACATTTATCTTATATGTATGAAACTTAAGCTTTTACTTTACGAATGATGTAAAGTTTGGAGTTTTTTTTTGTTTTTTTACTAAATACTTTTAAGCTAAAAATCTTCTTTTTTCATATGCTCAATAAAAATTTCCATTAAAAAACAATCAGTCGCCGTTTCAACTGCCACATAAAAACATTGGCTTTAGTTATTTCGAAAAAGAAATAAACACTAATATATTATTATATTAAAGTAAAAATTTGGCATGCTTTCGTGTTATTGTTTCTAACGGCGCGCAAAAATTGTTTGGTGGGTTTGCCGCACTTATTTACTAATTCTTCTCTTAACCACATCTACTCGCTACCACAATAACTGTTTTCTATTTACCTTCGTTATAAATTCGAGTTCCTCTGACTGGCACGCTCTCCCTTTCACTTCCGTTTACTGCGCTCTTCAAAAGTCGCTTATCTCGCCTTCAGTCTCCGGATAGGTGCAGGTGAATGGATTCATCAGCCAATTACACAGGCCCTTATCCTGTCGCTTCTTCTTCACCATTGTTATGCGATTGTGATGTTCTTTGGAGAGTCCCGACGTAAAGCTGCTCTCATCACTATCTCTCGCCGTCGCCACACTATGGTAGCCGCTTTCGGCACGTCGCGAAATGCCTGAATGCTTGGAGGTGCGTGGTGTTGACGAATCATGCCCACTGTCGTAAGCCTCGCAAGAGGTATTCAATGGCAGCAATGGTAATTGAGTTTGTGAAGACGTGGGCACTGTGGCACCACCAACGCCGGGAAGATGTTCCTTTTCCAATGAAGGTCTTTTGGAGGGTGATAGTAACGCGGACTTTTCATCTACTTCACAGATGTCCTCATGTTCCAACACAAAAGGCTTCTCAACTTTGGGCAGATTCGGATCGGAAGCACCGTCAGGATGACGCAGCGAAGCATATTGTTCCATGCCTGCGATTTGCATGATGCCATTTAGGCTGGGCAAACTGCCTTGGCTGGGACTGCGCGAAGGTTGTCTGAAAGCGACAAGATATAGAAAAAGATAAAATAAGTTAATATAGAGGGAAAGCTGTATAGTTTTCGATCGAGGTCATGTATTTTGGATGCTTTTCTCATCTAGAAATATTTCTTTACCCAATACTAGAGGGATTTAGAAGCGATTGTATATGCTACTTTTGAGAGACAATTTTGCTATTAAAAACTCACCTCGGGCTTGGTGGTCTATATGGCGGTTCACTACACACACTACCCGGTCCCGTGTTGAAGCGATACGCAGGCTCACTGTAAACGCTACCCACATCGCAGCTGCGGAAGACTGGCGTTACTTCGGCCATGGCCAGCTGTGAGGTGAAGATCTCACGTAAACGCGCTAATTGATCGAATTGGTTCCTGAAAAGATAAGAATTTATACATATTAAATGTTGTTGGACAAAAAAAAGTAATTTTCTAAGGAAATAAGGAATTTTTAGGGACGCAACACCATTACTCAACTTACCTCGTTCTTTCACCCATCGCACAATCGCTAAACGCATCGCCGGCCATGTTGAAGCTCGACACAATGGACATATTGTCAACGTGACTGAGCGCGGCCAGTGGATGTTCGCTACGAAGAGGAGAAAAGTGAAAGAAAAATAAGGAAACAGTTAGTTTTAATGTTAAACAAGAGCTTTTGTTCGGTCACTAATATCATCTGCCACAACTCACCCGCCCATTGTGCGCGCTATCTCCTCCTCTGTCACTTGCAGTCCACAATCGGACATGCCCATGCTGTGTTGCGAGAAATGATGCGAAGATTGCCTCGAGGGCGCATTTTGTTGCAACTCCTCGTGGCGACGTAGTTCCTGTTGCTGTTCGCGTTGTTGTTGCTGTTGGTAAAGCGATTCGCGTGACACATGTCGCGACAGTATGCGGTGTAGACTTTCGTGTGAAATTTCACGCGAACCTAACGGTTCGATGAGCGGCAGGGCGGGCGGCACCTCCGATGGACCACTGTCTTGGTCTTCATCACAATCTGCTTGCCGATCGCCTTGTTGACCACCCACAACAACACCATGCTCAGATGCCGCGGCGATGCCGTGAGCGTATACTTGCTGTGAAATGGTGCCATAACCGGTGTGCGAGTGCGTCGAATGTAAATCAGTCTCTTCTTTTGGTGTTGTCTGTGTAAGCCCGAGCGAGCCGGTGGCGCTGGACTGTCGTTGATGGTACAGAGCCTTCGAGCCGCGTATCTCCGCCGGCGCTGAGGCATTCGTTGTGCTCACTGCTGTGGAAAGACCCATGGCAATGGCTTGCGCCAACTCAGCCTCACTGGCACACAAAATAAACTGTTGTTCCAGCGGTAGCGACTGTTGTTGCTGCAATTGCGGATGCTGTACGCTGTGCTGTTGGTGTTGCAATTGTCTTGTGCTCGTCGCGTACAAATCCTCCGGTGCATCGAGTGATTTCTGCTTCAGCTGTGACATGTGGTATGTTATGTTGCGCAGATGTTGTGCCTGCTGGTCGCGATGAGCCGCATTGCCAGCGCCATGTGTAGGCGATGAGGCCGCCGATGTGGTTTGGAAGACCTGCGATGTCTGATTCTCCACCCATTGTCGTATCATAGACTTCTTGTGCGAATCCATGAAGCCGTAGCCTTGCACTTGTGACGGTGCTGTAGGCAGATTGCCGGCGGTAAGTGAACGGGCAGACTGCGACTTAGGACCATCGATCCATGTCTCACATTGTTTCACATGATTCACCTCACGCATCAAGTGACGCGCTTCAGCCACTTTGGCGCGCGATACACGCGGTCCATCAATCCATTGTTCCTCGCTTATTTTGCGCATCGGACTGCCAGGGCAGTCTAGCACATCAGCGGCGACGGCGGCAACACTGGCGCCACCACCCACACCGGGACGTCGTAGCGGCGAACCTTTAGGCGATGGCACATTCGAGCCTTTCGAGCACATCATACCAGCCATGCCGGGGTGTCGTAAACTGCCCGCAACTATTTTCGGTGAGGAGGCTGAATGCGTTAGCGATTTCGTGCTGTGCACGGGTGAAAAGAATTGTTGCTGTTGATCAACATTTGCAGTAGCCGCTTGAGGCGCCTGCTGTTGTTGCTGCGCTGGTGTGGGACTATTGACGTGGCCTCGCTTCAGACTGCCATTACGACTGGACGCATTGATGGTGGGACTTTGTGGGACTACAAAAAAAAAAAAAATTAAAGCGAAGAGAAAGTCATTATTGAGAGTGTTTAAGCATTGTTAGTGCAATAAAAATAACTAATGTTTAAAAAAGAGTAATGATTGCGCCACTATATCGCCTTTAGTTACCTTTCTGTGCCGCTGTCTTCTTCAATGTACCCGCTGCACTTTTCGCCGGCGACTGCTGTTGTTTCTCTAAGCCACTACCTTTTAGCGCTTTGCTCATCACACAACGGTTATCGCCGCTGCTGAGCGAGGGCAAATAAACCGGCGGATGTTCGCCATCCGTCGCATCGTCGCTGGGTCCCATGTAGATTACTGTATCGGCCGATAGCTCAGAGCTGGATGGATCTGCGCCAGAGCCAGCCGAAGAGCCAGTCGATTGATGACCTAAGTAAGGATAAAATGTGTATTGGTAAAGAAATGCGGTACTATAAATATTTCGAAAGGTGGAGAAGAGAGGTTATTAATGAGAAGTTGGCTTTATATCTTTACAACATCTCGTATGGATATATGAGATAGTTCTACTGTTAAAAATCAAGACCACAAAGTAGCTCGTTGAAACTAAATTAATCTCGTGGTTCTTTGGTTGATACAAATTTCGCTCATTTAGTGGAATCTCTCCGTTGTAGTTAGCTTAAGGTTCGGATGGGAAAAACCTTTTGGAATGGAAATGTATTCAGTCTTTTGAAATGTATTCTTTAGAGCGATTGACGGTTTTTTGTTACATTTTTGAAGGAACTCCTGATGAGTTCGGTATCTCAATAATGCTCACAATGGCTGCCAATCATGATAAACGATGGTTTAAACAGTACCTCTCCGATTTGCGCAGAAATAAAAGAACTGCGGGATTCTATAAGTCGTTCTTTTGTGAAGATGTTCTACTTTCGGCCAATTTAAAAATGATTATTTTTATGGAGGCCGTTGCCAGAGTGGACCGTCTTTCGTATTTCACCATGGCACTGGTTTCCAGAAATATCAACTTTCTAACTATAGTATCACGTCTGCCTTTTAACCCAGATTTTTACCCGCCCAAAAACTTTTAACTCGGTTGCAATCGCCAAAAATATACGCGGATGATTTATATCACTACAACAACAGGAATCACTTTTAAATACCTTCTCAAAGCGATTACTGCCCAACCCACTAATAGAATTTAACGCTGTTTTCAACGACTTACCTCCATTAACGCCGGCCGCCAAGCCGCCCACACCGGTCTTGTCACTTGGCATCGGAAAACGGTGCTTACGTCGACGCATGCGATGTATGCGTGAAGCCAATTGTATCGTTGTCAAAGCATCCGTATGCGACTGTGAGGAAGAAAAGAGCAAAACAACAAAAACAAAAAAACAACAACATTAGTGAAGGAGGCAATGCAAATTGAAAGTCATTTGTCAATCTCATTGTGACGCAAATGAATGGTCGCAAAACGAAGTCGTGAGTCGTATGTGATTTTATGAATGTGCAATAAATTGACCAACCACTCAGTCAGTCAGTTAGCCGATGTAAGTCGCGCAGTCGGCACTTTCATTATGAAATTGTTGTACAATTAAGCAGCTTAATACAACAATGGCTGGAGCCGGAGCTGATACACGAAAACTTACCGCTTAAGAGCATACCAATTACGCACAAAAACAGCGAACCCGTTATTACATATTCCGACCACTACCACTTCGACATCAACCGTTCACCGTACAACACTCACCTGTGTGTGCATCACGTGCGCCATTATGGCGACATGACACGTCAACGGCGCCAGACAATCTTTCAACAGCGGCGTCAATGGATGGTCCTTATTCGGCGGATGCCGTTGTCCACTCAATATCGCCAGCAGTATGTTGCCGATGCCGGAGAGCGGCAGTCCACCATTGCGGTTGGCGCAACCACCCATATCGATGAGATGCAAACGACTGCGTCCTCCGGCCACTGTTGTGTGAATTGTGTGAATTCGAATGAAAATAAGTGCATTAAAATTTTAGCACGAAAAGTCTAGAGTGCCAGCGTTGCATTATTGGAATTCCAATTATTTTGCAGCGGCTGCGGCGACTACTATATTGAGTACAAAGAAGTAGCGCATGTGCTTACCTCCGCCTTTGCGTGACAAGCTGTACTGGTAGACGTGCAGTGTGAATATCATGGCCGGCTCCAGGCCGCCTTGTGGTCGTCCGGCGAGTGCGGCGTCTAGGAACAATGCGGCACGTTCGGCGGTGGGCGCACGCAATTCGGTGGGTCCGCCAAGAAAGTCATCACGTAAATACACGCCCGGAGAGTCATCGGATTCTGTGTGTTGGATGAGAATTTGAAAAGAAGCAGGGGATTTGCCGAAAAATACGAAGCGATTAATAGCAATTTAAAGAGTTAAAACGACGATAAATTTTGAATGTTAATGAAAAATGGATAATGAAGTCGCAGCATTTTTAAAACTATTTTCTTCTAGAGAATGCATTTATTTCAACTTTTTCTCTAAAGACAATACTTAACTCATACGCTGAAGTACAGAAATAGATTACTTCTAGCCCGAGATATGTTTCTACTTTTACTTGGTTCACGTTATAGCTGATGCTCTATCAAATACTAAGCTTTCTTCAAATATGAAGATATTTAATATCTCTCTTTTTTAAAAGAGGCACTAAGCAAAGACCTTTGACAGCTCTTTAAAAAGGGAAATATATAAGGAAATATTTAGAGAACCTGAAAAAATGAGGCGGGAGCACCCTTGCTAAATAAGTACCTCCTCGGTGTTTTCCTATCGATTTACCTTTGATTTTTCTTCAAAACACAAAAAAAAAACTCAAAGAAATATAAGTTCCGCTTCGATTTCATATCTCTTTCTCTTGCTTCCATGGAGTATAACGCCCTTTTTATGAATTTCTGTGACTTATACAAGTAGCAAAATTTGGTTTAAAAAAAATAAGAACACCTCGTAATCCAGGCGAACAAATTACTGCACTGTCAATGCAGTAAAGCTATTAATCGCCGAACTTAAAGTAACTTAACTAATACACCAGCCAATATACATATTTGAAACATCCTCATCTACTTACCAGTCGCATGCGCCGCCAACAAGTCCTTCGAGCTCGAGTCCGGTTTCGTGGCGCTGACACCCAGCGCACTGACGCGCACCGAAAAGCGCGCGCCACTCTTCTGACGCCGCTCATTAATGCCCTTGTACAGCCACGAAATGGCGCAAGGAATAGCACCTAATTCAGTGGGCGGGTTCACGCCACCCAACATGGTTTTCGGTTGACCTGTGCAACGACGAAAAAATATCAAACAAAAATAAGTAGAAAACGAGAAACAGCAAGCAAAAGAGACAATGAAACATAATGGCGAAATACAAAACAAAAAAATGTGAGGAAGAAAAATGTGCGATAAGCGTGTTGAGATTACGATTAATCTACAATTTATTGCACATTTCCCCTTAGTGAGCGCAGAAAAAAGCATAAAAATGATAAAGTAAAAGAGGAAACTTACCGGAATTCGGATAACCAATCGTGAGTAGACAGCCGTCTGAACCTTCCAATACGGCGGGTATCACCTCAGACAAAGCGGAAGCACAGAGATCGGACTGTGGACGAGAAGAAAGCCGGCGAAAGCGAAGGCAGGAGTAAAATAAAAGTTTTAAATAATGACTTGCGCTTGCAAAGGCGTTTGATAAATTGCGACTGTAAGAACTTTTGCGCGCTGATAATTGTGTACACTCACCTGTTGATCCTCAGCCGTGAATAGGCTATCGAAGGCGAACATTTTCGGCGCGGCTACCATGGGACCGCGCTCCTGCGACGTCGAAGACGCGAGCGCGCTCGCTGCCGACGGATCTGTCAGCGTCACTTGACGTTTCTTCTTATCGACCGCCATAAAGTGCGGGTGTTCCGTGTCCGTGTGTGCGTCCGAGACACGCAACATCACCTTAACCTGAAAACAACGAAGCACAAAATTCAAGTGCAAATGCAAAATAAATAAAAATTAAAGGAAAAATTAATTATGCGCATAAAAAACGGTTTGTAGCGAGTTTATTATGACTAATGTCGCATATTTATGCTTTGTACTATCGTACCACTTATGACTGGCAACACTGTGTGTGCCACATGAAGCGCTCATACAGTAGCGCTGTGTTGATTGTGATCTTAATTGCTGCGGATTGTAGTTTAAATTAGATTTATGTTTTAACTTCATAATGGGCAGGCGCTTCGCCGCCACCTCGCACAATGTCTAGCGACTTTTTGTTGACAGACCGATATTATTAGCGGTAAATCGCAGACGGTAATTGGATCGCGTTTTTATGGCACACGTCATGCAATACCCGACTTTGTTATGCTATACTTTACTGCTTAGGCGACTACACACTTAGTTACTTAGGTAGTTAGGTACATATATGCTTAAGTACTTGAGTTATGCTTTGATTGTACTCACCTTGCCGATACCGTAGTTTTCCTTGTTCGCAAGTCGACGCGCCAAACCCGGTGGCATGGGCGGTGGCGCACGCTGTAGCGCCCCACAAAAGCCACCATTTCGTGCGCTGGCGTTTGGCAGTTCGGCGGTGCGACTTTTTGTCGAATTGTGAGTTTGTGCGAGTTTTTGTGCGGCTCTGTGGGAAGAAAGGAATTTATAGAGTTCGATTAGTTAGTGAAATCGATATTCATAAGTTTTAAATGAGCTTTAATTTTATGTTACCTTGCCGCAATAGTAAAAGTTTTTGCTGGACATTGTCCAATAGGCATTCATGCGGTGAAGCTTAAAATTTTGACGGACCTAAAACACTTTATCGTTTTAAAGGGTCTTATGATCTATTATGTAGGAGTTTTTTTCAAACTGAGGTTGCTGCCATTAAGGTAGCAGTAGATTTACTACTCAGGAGTACAGCCTCCCTCAGAGAAGTGACTATCCACTCTGATAGCAGGGCGGCGATACAAGACTTGAGCTCAGTAAACGTGTTTTCAGGGCTGGTTAAGGAATGTCTAACTTCGTTAACAACGGCATTGAGTCTTTTTGTGATAAGACTGGTATGGGTGCCAGGCTACATCAAAATCGCAGGTAACTGTAAAGCTGACGAGCTAGTAATGAAAGAAACCCTATACGCGCTATCAATAGAATGGAAACGGGTCGATGCTCCTCTCTTCTCGTGTGTTCTACTACTGGGTAGCTGGGCTACCATCGGGTTATGCGCTGCCTAAATACCCTTTTAGCCCAAGGTCGATCGTAAGAGATCCAGTAAGCTCTTTAGGCTATGCTCTTCCTTGTTGTGGGGGTTCTAACAGGCCATTGCTCTATCGGTGTCATGTTGTAAGGTTGAGAACCTTACCGGAAGGCAGCTGCCGCTGCTATATGGAGAAAGAAGAAGTGGGAATATCTTTAAACTTCCGTCTTGATTGTTGCACGTTTGCGAGATTAAGACTTAAACACTTGCGAGCTCACACTTTCAGATATACCACCGAGCCAGTGGGAGTAGAAATTAATCGCTTGAGCAAATTTTTATTGGCCACATGGCTCTATGCTGACTTATAGATCGAATACAGGAGTTCTTTTTTTATGGCTTTACACAGGGCTGCATATTGTATAGTAATACAAGTGAAACCTCTGGATTAGCCATCGAACATAACCTAAACTTATAATTCAGTTTTCTATAATTTTATATAAGTAGCTCTATACATAATAATTATTTTATATTAAAAAATCGTTATGACTTTTACGAACCCAAACATCTAGATATATAAACAAATATTTAGTATCTTTATATACCCTTATATCCACCTGTGTCCTCCAATCTGAGCACAAAATTTATTAATTACCTTCTATTTGGCCGTCTGGCTGTCAGAAAATATTCCCTAAGTCCAGACAACTTTTCCTACTTTTCGCTATGAAATATGTGTGTGCCGGCAGAAATCCTCAAAAGTGTTTTCTCAGCCGAACAAAACCGTTAGTTACGGCTGAAATGAACTGAACGTAACCAGAATAAAGCAAAAAAACAAAATCCGAAAACACAATTATGACTCCCCAAGATAATAACCGTATTAGACATGATGTTAATGACATTAATTAACACACAACATTAACACACGAAATGAAACCTTTTTAGAAGTGGAGCAGAACATGGCATAGAGGATGTGAAAATACCATATACATATATACATGTGAGGGCATATGCGTCTATAGCAGCAACTTTTGGAAAGGTATTAAGGCACAATGTGTATGCTGTTAATACATATGGTGGATATACATATATGTATATATATATATAATATTAAAGGCAAAAGGTAGAGAGTAGTAAAGTTAATGCATAAATATAGTGTCACTTCTAATATAAAGTTTATGGTATGTCTAAGTTTTAACGTCGACGAAGTGAAAAAAGTATAAATACGAAAAAACGGCGACTTCGACTGTTCGCTGCATAAATCATTCACAGATACACTTCTTATAGCATAAAAAGGTATGCAAAGATATTTATCTTAATTTTTATCGTTCAGTCTGTATGACAGCTATTTGCGATAGTAGTCCAATCTGAACAATTTCCGCGAAGATTGTACCGCTGTCTTAGATAATAAAATATGAAAAAATTCCGCAATATATCTTGTCAAATGAAAAAGCTTTTCACACAAGCACTTGATTCCGATAATTCAGTTTGTATGGCAGCTATATGCTATATTGGTCCGATATCGGTGATTAAAATAAATAAGTACAAAGTTTCAGAGCGATTTCGCTAAAACTGAGATACTAGTTAGTGTATATACAAGCAGATGGACCGACCGACAGGGCTAAATCGACTCAGCTTGTTATGCTAATCATTAATATATATATTTTATAGAGTCTCCGACGTTTCCTTCTGGGTATTACAAACTTTGTGGCAAACTGAATATACCCTGTTTAGCGTATAAAAATAATGAGGAAGACAAAGTAAAAGACAAGACTGCAAAGGGCACTGAGAGAGGTTACTTCTTTGCTGAGTATATTTAATTGATCGAGTTAGGTGTATTTTGTCTGTTGAAATTGTGAAAATGGTGGAAAATACTATGAACCCAAACCCTAAAATATGAATGACTATGTCGTAGGTCAATTTCAATAACTTGATATTCACAAGAAATCTAAGGAATTCGTTCTATTTGGTCGTTTACTAAGTAATTTCGTTTGATGACAACAGCTGATCATATTGAATTTTTTCGCAGCCAACTTCACACTTAACCGCTTTACTGTTATATAAATATTTGAACAGCTGATATAATAAGGCTTGCTTGTAATAAATTTTCTTAAAATTTTTAGAATAATTTTTTGAAAGATTATTGAAAAGAGCCTTTTCGGCATATTTTACATTTTTTATTATCAAAAGGGTAAAAATGCAATTCAAGCAAGCCAAAATTATGTCATTTGTACAGAAAAGATGCCGAAATTGATTTGCAAAATTTCGTAACGCAACCAAGCACATGCAAGGTCTAGGAAGAAGGCCGATAAGAAAAAAATAAATAAATTATGTTGTCTGTTTGGTGGGATTTCAAAGGGATCGTTTATTTTTCTATAACTCTGAAGTGTATTGTGACCAGCTGGACAAATTGAGTAATGCACTCAATCAAAAGTGGCCAGAATTGGTCAATAGAAAAGGTGTTGTGTTCCACTAGCATATTGCGAGACAATATGATGATTCGCCAAAAGCTTTTACAGCTTGAATGGGATGCGGTACCACACCCACCATACTCTCCAGACTTGGTACCTTCGGACTATTACTTGTACCTGTATCTTGAGATATTGTGTTTGGTTACTTTTGAATAAGTACTAGACCACATGGTCAGGCAACAACGAGAAGTTGAGTAAGTGATAAAAAAGATATAGACGGATTAGATTCCGTAAACTTCGATAATCTTGTAAAAAGTTACTGGTATAAACAAATATTAAAAGGAATACATTTTCGAGATTCAAAAACGTCTATAAGGTCGTAACAGCCGACAAAGCATGAATTAGTGTTCATGAACCTTAAATTAAACTTTGTAATAGTCAAAGAAAGCTGATGAACCTTACATAGTAAGTACACTGGGATACAGACAGGTTTAAAGCCGCTGGTACATATAATAAATTTTGATTATAGAGTGGACAACAAAACGAACTGTAGAGGAGATCTTTGGAAAAATTAAGAGACCTTCACACATTAGTAACGACGAATTTCGCCTGAGGTTCGCCAGTTGTGCTAGTTTTTAAACGAACTATCGCCTAGTGATAGTAAAAAGGAAAAATATTTTGTGTTCGTTGAAAATATTATAGCAATAAGAACTTGGTTTCATTTCGTGGTGCGAATTGTCGCTAATTTGTGGATCCAGGTAGGTAGTGTGACAGCCTTTTCAAGATCATATAGACGGGTATATCGCCAAATTAAAGCAAGAAAATATTATGAACTTCGCAAAAATACTGAATTAGAGAAAGAGAAGGTAAAACATGCAACAAACCACTGTAAGTTCAGCTTCAAATCAAGGCATGAACTTGAATTTAGTATTTTTTGCTTATGCTCTTCTCCACTTTGCTGGAGCTCAAATTTCAATACTTCAAAGCACATAAGACAAGTATTGTCAAGAGAGGCAACTAACCAATAGAGAGATATGCGCACAAAGAATTTGAGATAAATATGATAGGAGCAGAAAAAAGTGAAACTCCCAAAAACACCAAACCTAAAAAAAAAAAAAATAAAAAAACATAACCTCTAAAAGTAAAGTAACACCGAATTCGACTGCCTGCCAGCTAGCTGCTCACACATTTCAAAGGATTCACAACACTAGAGCGCCGAGGCACAGTTGCGTTGTATTGTGCTACGCAGCAAAGCGAATGCCACAAAAGCAGTGATAAGCAGCAGACAGTCTTACAGGTACATATACACTCATAACAATGATAGCTACAAAATAGTGTAGCATACATTTAGGCGCTGAAGCAAGTTCTTTGCATGAAAGCGAGATACAGCCAGCTGAAAATATTAAAGTCAAAGCCGTCTGCTCTCGTGGCGGCAAAGCAGTAAAAGCCAGCGCCGTGGCACAAGGCAAAACCGTTTGATGTGCGTGTGTGCAACAAAAACAAAAAAAAAAACCGGTGAGTTAAGCAAACACAAAGGCTGCTTTTTTCAGCAGCTATGATATTTCACGCTTTGACTACTAAGCATATCACATACTATCACATCGCTGCTGCTGCAGCTGCAGCTTTTGGAAAAAAATATATCATTGTTCCGAGCGTTAAGCAAAGGAACCGAAAAAGGGGTTAAGTTATTCCGGCAAGTGTGTGGGAATTCGGTGAAAAGTGCATGATTTCCCGAATGAAGGCAGCGAGTCGCTTTGGCTTTTCTCTATGCTTTGTGGTTTATTTTCGTTTTTCTACGCTTTGACGTCGATTTTAATATCAGAAATTGTTGTGCGTCGGCATTTGGGCGGAAAGAATTAGAAGTCAATGTCAATGCACTATTCTTTTTTTTTTTTTGGAAGAAAAGTAAAAAGTTGTTGAATTTTGGTTTGCCTAAATCATTTAATATGCTGTTTGAAGGTAAAATCAGCGGTGGTGAGCTTTATAATTTTGGAACTTAGTTCCCCAGCCGAGACACGAATTTTATATTGAGACTGATTGATTGCC